TAGACGAGCGGTGAAGTGGACAAACATTTCGCGGGGTAACCCCGAACCACTCCACTCCGCTCGTCTAAACTTTAAATACTTATAACTCATAAACTACTCAACCCAAATTCGATTTTCATGTATCAAAATACTAAGAAAAATATTCTGCTTTGGAATATAAAATTAAAACCCTATGTTGTTATTCAAAAAAGTAAAAAACTTAAAAAATTATAAGGATAAAAAATATTTAAAAATATAATTTTTTAATAAAAACGTTGGTTTATAAGCGACTTGAAACTATGTAAAAAAATATTTTCAAAAAAATTTACACTTTTTGAAATAATGAGTGTTGTTTGATAAAAGAATCACCCAGTATATAGGTACTAATTAATCTACAGTATAAAACACGCATTTTTCACTCGCTAATGATGCTGATATTTATTCGTCCTTTATAATAGTATATAGCCAGTAGGTATTTCAATAATTACTATACCGCATACCTATTTGTATATCAATGGTAGTGCGTATCAGAAAAAGTGAAAACCCTAAACGTTAAAGACTTAAAACGAATAACTATTGTTATAGGTATATGCTAATAATTTCAAATCAATCGAAATAGATCAAGTATTAACACGTCCGCATCACAAATATTTACGATTTATTCTAATAATAATTTATGGTGAAAATAAAAAATATTGTATAAATGGATTATTATATTGTAATTAATAAATTAACTGAACTTATGTTTTTCTTCTATTTTAAAAGAGATTTTTTTTTCAAACTATAAATAATAAATTTTTTTCGATTCTTGCATACTATATTATATATACCTATAGTTTGTTTTAATTTTCAAATATTTGGCGTGTGCCAATGTGCCAGTATTAACTGACTCGTGTTCTGGACTATGCACATGTGTACTGTGGTATGTGTTCCAATAATTTCTAAGTCCCAGAAACTATTTTTCTACACTCTTGAACACTCCAGTAGCAGTGTAGCACATACTTAGATGACTAATCGGTTATTTATAACAATATAACATGTTGCATACATAATACATAAATATGCATATAAAATTTGAAGACCTATATGTATAAACTTTTGTTATTTGAGTTTCGTAATTGAAACATCTGCTTGACTGCGTGTGTCTAATGTAAATAACATAAAGTAAAAGCACGAACCAATCCAAGAACTATATTTCTAAACTTTGTAGAATAATTCAAAATATTAAGATTGCACTGAATTTGAGGAAATATTTTTACAAAAATGTACCACCATACCGATACCTATATGCATATATAGTATATTTAATATAAATACATAACTGTTTTTATTAAAAATTCTTTTATAGACTACACGGATAGCCATGAAAAATCTATGACGTATATATACATCTAGAAAACTGATGAAACGTGTTGAATGTACTTAGGTATACCGACACCCAGAAACGATCTTGAATATTATATTATTATATTTTTTTTTTACATACTTTCCTTCGCCATATCGTCACGTGTTCCGTGGAGACATGTATACAATGCATTAACGTTCAGTATATAGATAGGTATTATATTAGTCGTACAATAGAAAAAAAATTAGTGCTTAGTGTAAAATAAAGCCTCGGGGAATTTGGACAATATTAAAATCTGTTTAGATCGTAATACAACATCACACAAATTGGATTCTTTTGTTTTCCACCTTAAATTGTATATCAGAGCTTTAAAATAATTGGAAAATATCCTGGGCCAGTGGAACACGAGTACCTATATACATGACATTTATCTGGGGGCTGTCGGCAGTGTACATCATCTCTAATATATACATACAAGATACAAAGGCGCGGTCTGTATTACACGTAACATATTACTATGAAATGATCTATCGCCATGCGCCGTGCACTCTGCATTGTATAATGTAACTACATTTTATAATATAAATCGAAATGACGCTGTGGTATAAATTATATATTTTTTTATGTAGATACGTAATAACAGTGTGTGTCGTATTTGTATGACTACTTATATAGATTATAGGTAGGGACATAATATTAGTGTACTGAAATAAATATACATAGTATCAATCGGTGTTCACTACATAAATACAATTATACTGATTTTCGTTAAATTATTTTACAGAAAAAACTATTCCAAATATTTGTCTTTTAATAATCATTTTACAATCTACTGCTCTTTTGCTATGTTTTAAATAATGAATATAATATTAGTTAAATTTGTAGTAGGTACCTATACAATATTTCATATGACTTTATATTATAATATATTTTTGTATACAAAAATATACACAATTAAAAATTACAGAGGTAGGTATTTCTTTATTTCATAGGAATAGCGAGTACTCTTTATTCAAACTGCTTTAACTACATTTTTTTTTTTTTATATAAATTACATAGTATAGCAAAAACACAAAAAACTATAAACAGCAGAAAAAAAATGTTTTATTATGTATAAAAACGTTCAATGAACTTGAGCATATTATGGTAAAATAAGTAATTGCGAGATACATTTAAATAATAATTATTTATTTTAGAAGGTCATACAGTTATAGTGGCTAGTGTACAAGTCCTAATGCTTAAAGCTATATTATATGTGGACATGTGGTATTCTATATAGGGATTGGTAAAGTCCTCTAGACTCTAATATACTTGAGACTTGAGTACTATATTATAGCCATCTGTCGTATCCGATTCGTATCCATAAACTTTTTCCCCAAAAAAAGTGATCGTGTAAAAAAAACTTCATTGTAAATGAAACTTACACGATTATAGGTTTTGCTTAAAAATCTAAGAATGTCTTATATCCTAAACCGATTATGACATAATTTTATTTATTCAATTGCGATAAACTACATGTGCGATTATGGAATTAATCCCCTAGATACATATATTAGGTATGCGTATATATTTCTGTGGACAATGGATACGTACCTACTATAAAAACATTAGTAGACAAACAAAACCTATACGGCTATATGTAAAAGATTGTTCAAAATAAAACTATTATTATTTACAATAATTACCTACTAATAGATTTTTCGTCGAATTGAGACACTCTTAAAGTCATATTATGGTTATAACTTATAGTGTAACTGCGTTTTTGATATTTACTCGTTTAAACCGTATAGATTCGATATCGATAACGTAATGTACGCTTCTCAACGGGGGGTCGCGACCACTCGGAAAGTTGACGGTTATCAGCGTCCAGTGACTTATAATATTTATAACAGAATATTATGGTCATTGGCTTCATAAATCATAATTCCCTTTTGTTTGAAGCCTCTGGCATTGTCTATAATGTTCGTTTTCTTTCAGATTTGATTCTTAATATTATATTAGTTAGGTATTAACCCGACTGAGTGTAATGTATTGGTTCAAATAAATTTTGTATAGGTACTTTGTTGTTTTATCTTATATATTATGTCTACTATACATATAAAGGTACTCATGACCAGATACAGTATATAGCATACACCCTTCGATAAGAATACAAACCGGTAATTGGTTTTATATACATATTTTATAATTATCTTGTATTTTTCTTTTCATATTGTAAATACTAAATGTATCTTCAAAAAGAATAATGTACCCCAATAAAAGAATTGGACCAACCTGAAATGTCCATTATCAACCGGTATAGGTATGTGCATTCCTATAAAGTACCTAGTACCTAACCACGCACTCCTAAGACTATACCAGTATACCTGTATAGGTACCTGGGTATATATTTTAACCGTGACCTGTTTCGAAAAGCAATATCCAAGTGAACTCGATCTTCATGTCACCCTCGTTGTAAGTAAGGAGACGATTGTTGTTCGGTCACGGCTATATAGGACTAATCTATATGGTTTATTGTTCGACGTTCTATAACGCTATCAGTCACGCCCGCACAAAATGTCTTGAGAACAATAAAAAGAACTTAATACCTACTCTACACCCGTTCAATTATTATTACTATATCTGGAGAGCCTAAAAACGAACTTTGATAGCTACCGGTATCTATAAATTCTACACATTCACTCTGTAGTCACTCGTCGTGCTATATACTGTTTTATAAATAGCTACAGGTAGCCAAGGTAGGTCATAGGTATACGTGTACAAATGCTGAATATTTATATGATTTTTGTCATAGGCATATCAATTGTATGAATAATATTAACGTTTTATGTTAAACAATTTAAAACTACCTAATATAATTAATAAATGTCGATATTTAATATATTGATTATACCTACATTTATTATATAGATATTTTTTTAGTTTTTAAATAGTTTCTAATAGTAGGTATAGTTACAACTGATAATATAAAGTACACTAGTAAATACTATAATGTATTATATAATACCTTTATGTTATACATTGCAGGTCAAAGAAACCTTTTAAGTACCTACATTATATGTACATTTAAAACAAATCCACCAGTTGCCAGAAATAAAATTACTGTTTTCAATTAATCACTAAACAAAATCAATTTTAACTACGAACGAATTTAACCTCAGTATGTTTTATGGCTAAAAAATGAGGTAATATCATGTCTATTTAAAATGTTAATATTTATCAAAGCATAAAAACTTAAAATGCAGATGGTTTTTAATCGAACAGCAACTATAATGTACCTACTTGAAATATTAGTTGAAGTTTACACGAAATATATATATGCTGCAGTAGTTACTCGTACTTGGTTCATTATTATGTATAATATAATATTATATATTACTAAACGGTAAAGAAGTGTCTCCCGAATTGCTAAACAAGATTAATTTTGGTGTCCCTCCGATTAACACTCGTACAAAACATACATTCCACATTGAAACCTGTACCCAAAATGTTGTCTTAAATAGTCCTATAAATCGCATTGTAAATTATTGCATTAATCATTTAAATAGTTTCGATTTTTTGCTTTAACAATGTACATTTTCTACTCGAAATTGTATTAAACTTGTAAACTGATTATGTAGTAAGATATATATAGTAAGATCAATATTTTGTTTCAGGTCCAATAAACAAAAATAATATGACTGACTTCCAGCGGACTCGTAGCAAGGTGTGGTTTCCCAATTTGGACGATGACGACGAAGATATTCATCACTCGTGGCGCCGACAACCATCCTCGTCACCGGATAGCAGACGTGTGTCGTCTGGCAGCCCAAGCAACGGTAGTCACAAATCACAGGACTCCGGTTTTTCAGACTCCGAGAGTAGTCCCTTAGGATTGTCGAAAGCTTTGCCGAAAGAAGACAAGCAACATGACAATACGAATGATTTTACCGATAAATTGCCAAACGGAGTGTTACCCGAAGCCCCAGTTCCTAGAGTGCAGTCGCCTTGCGAACCCCATCCACAATCGCCCAATCATTGCAATTGTCTTCTACCAGCTTGCGAATTGTCCAGAAAGTTCCGTTCGTTCGAGTTCACCACCGCCGACGAAACGTCACCATTCAGACCGACGACAAAAAGGTACGAGGAAGAACCCTCACGCACACCCAACCGGACCTGTTTTATCGTTGATGAATTGCCAAAAACCACCGTAGTACTGTCGACGCCGAGCTCAGTGAAAAGTTTTGACGGCCATTTCGATCAGTCTGAAAACGTTACTGTTGTAGAAAACATCAAACAGGACTGCATCAAAAATAACGAATTGATTATCGATCCACCAACACCGTTTGTCGACCGTTTTAACGATGTGGACACAGTGAGTCTATGTGAATCCGACCGACCGGGCTCACCTGAGCATACGTCTACACCAAAATCGACCAAAAACAGATGTTGTACGCCCAGGTTACATTATAGAAAAGATCTACAATTAAGAAAACCAAAACATCTAAAAAATAGCTTTTCCAGGTTAGTTTTTAATACCAAAATCATAATACAATTAGATAATAGAAATACTATACATATAGTCTCTATATTTAGGTGTAGTCTAAAAAAGTAGAGTACTAGAGTATATACTGTATACTGTATGTTTATTATAGTACCTATATTATATATATATATATATAGGTATAATGCTATAATAGGTACTAGGTACACTATAATATAATATATGACGTTATTATTAAATTATGTGCTCGAGCAGTTATATATTATGCCATATGGGTAGGTATTTTGATTTATTCTATGAAATCTTAATAAATTATCGATGAACTGATATAAGTATTACACCAAATTTAATTTTTAATATTGTTTTGTTTCATTAAATTACTTGTTTAATATAGGTATCTAGGTATTTAATTGAACCTAAATTGAGAACACTTTTGAATTACTTTTATTTAAATTACTATGAATATTTAATAATTACATTTAAAATATACTATAAATTAATCATATTGTTTCCAGAATTGAACGTGAAAACGAAGTGCCCGTTGGCCAGTGGCTAAACGAACTGAGGTTTAGATGCGAACCTGAATGTATGACCACTTTACAATCGAAATCAATAGCAACTTCGGAAGATGCTTGTCGTTTTTCTACAGTTGTCTGCACCGATTCTGAAGTTGTGCGGGACCTTTATCAACGTACAAAATCCATATCTGATGAATTTATAAAAGTTTACAGGTAGGTGCTCTAATTAATTTGTTTATAGTTCCTATTGGTTATTCTACATATATGATAATTTATTTATATTTGTTTCTTAGTGATTTGAACAAATGTCCAGTTGATAATTTTGGACCATCTGTCCATACATTAACTGGTCTGTTGTTGGACTTTGTTTGTGATCACGAGAGTGAACTACCTGAGCACGGCCAAGAGTTATGCATGGACTTGGTTGATGTTTCCGAAAAACTAAGAATTCATGCTAACCGACGTCTAGGCAACAGAAAAATTATTCTAAACGACGTGTCCGCACTAGGACAAATATTTAGCGAATTAATCGACGCTTTGTTAATGAAGAAAATACAGGTACCTACCTATATAAAGATAATGATAGTTTATAGGTTTAGGGTTTAAATATAATGATTTTCATCGAACAATAATTCATACTATTTGGTTAAACTTTTAGTCTTTGGTGGACATATTGGAAGAACCAAGCACTGATATTGAACTCGTTAAGACCATGTCCAGTATCAACAGCCTGGGATTGGAAAGTGTTCATCTTGGTAGTTTGGTGACGAAGTGCAATGGTGTCCGATCGTTGTTGACTGTTTGCATAGAAGCCGTGTCCAGTACAGTCAGATCGGCTGCCCTGCGCACACTGGCCATGGTGTGTTGTTCGTCTGACAGCATCAGACAATTCGAAAAGGTAGGTACCTAACTAAAACAATATAATATATGATAATATAATTAAATATAATTGTATATATAATATATAAATATAATCTTATATAATAAAACGCTAATAACGCGTATAAGATCCGCGGGGAGCGCTCACGGCACTCCGCGTTTCTTCCATGACGACCAATCACAATACTTCCCCCGCGTTCGCTATAAATTCCGCTCGCTTATCTCCCTTTTCCTTATCGATCCTAATATTTTCGAACATTATTATTATTATTAAAAAAAAACCCGTGTTTTTCAATTTTTTGACGTGATAATAACGTCTTATAAATCGATTACCCCGCGACCGTCGGGCGGAGTGGGGGGACCCATTAAACGAGTAATTATTTTTGACGAAGTATAACTTAGCCGGTATTCGACTTAGAGACCCCGTACCAATGGGCATCTCAATTTTTTAGGCCCCAGATGAATTTTCAACATTAGGGAACCAAAGCCCCCACCCCCCCCACATTTTGAGTTGAGTATAACTCGGCCGGAATTCAAGTTAAAGACCTCGGACCAAGGGGGAACCCATTCTTTTTATGAATACTACCGTTTTCCGCTTTAGGGAACGGGGGCACCTCCTCCCCCCCCTTTTTGGATTTTGCTTTTTTGATGGATTTTGGTCCGGGAGAGTACTAACACCCACCTCGCCAAGGGGAAACTCGGGGTTTTGAGTTTTTGATAGGATTTATTGGGATTTTCTTAAATATTGTTTTTATTGATAAGGTAAGTGATAAGAATTTTATTTTATCGCCGCGAGCACGGCGACGCGGCTTAAGAGTCATACATTTGCCTCGAAATTTCATCTGAGTAGGTGGCTAGGTTGGTTAGGCGTTAGGATAGGTGACTCGAGGGTCGTGGGTTCGAAACCGCCGTCCGGGATTTTCGGTTATTTGCGGCGGCCGTGATATATAGAATTTTTTTTTTCGCGTTTTTTTTTTTTCGTCACATTTATCATTTTTAACGAAAGTGTTAATTTTTTTTTTAAATTTGCATTATATTATTATATATATTATTATTATTCGTTTGACGATATTTATTGGGCAAAAAAATTATTATAATTAACATTTACCGACGCACCTACATGTTTTTTTTAAATTTGCATTATTATATTATATATATTATTATTATTCGTTTGACGATATTTATTGGGCAAAAAAATAATTAAAATTACCATTTAATTAATACTTGATTTTACCGACGCACCTACATGTTTCTTTTATTAACACATTATAATAACGTATAACTAACCTACGTTTAGTACCTACTTGATATATTACAGTTTTTACGTGATTCCGATTTGGTTAAATACTGCTACAGATTATAAATACTATATTAAAAAATAGTACGACTATATTTGCCGTTTTTTTCGAAAATTCGAGTCCCGGGGTGGAGTAGTGTGTCAGAAACGAGAGTAGGTACCGTGTAGGTATCGCTATATACAGGCATATATACATGCGCCTCGAGATGACTGATAGCTAGACACTCAAACTCAGAATCCGAATTTCCGATTTCAACACACATACGAGAACCGGACACACACGCCCGGTGCATGGTCTGCGATCCGACGTAGTCGGATTGCCTACCTGACTAGCTACTTGCATACGAGCGACTTACACCCTCACTGCATCTGACACTCGGGAATCGACTTTCACCCGAGATGACTGATAGCTAGATACTCAAACTCAGAATCCGAATTTCCGATTTCAACACACATACGAGAACCGGACATACACGCCCGGTGCATGGTCTGCGATCCGACGTAGTCGGATTGCCTACCTGACTAGCTACTTGCATACGAGCGACTTACACCCCCAGTGTCCCCCACTGCATCCGACACTCGGGAATCGACTTTTACCCGAGATGACTGATAGCTAGACACTCAAACTCAGAATCCGAATTTCCGATTTCAACACACATACGAGAACCGGACATACACGAATGGGGCATGGTCTGCGATCCGACGTAGTCGGATTGCCTACCTGGCTGGCTGTGTCTTACGATCGACTTGAATCGCGTGACCTACGACTAGACACTCTTCCGAGTTCAAAAATTACCGCTTAAAAAGTGCTGCCAACACGACAAAACACAATACCCGACGACCCCCCCATTCCCGCCGCAGGCCGGATCAAAAAATCCAGCATCGCCGACAAAGATGCACCACCACCCACACAGTCTTTCCGCCGCAGGCGGGATGACAAACGCCAAAATCTAGTATAATATAATATAACAAGTAATAAAGCTATGTAAGTAGTAAGTACCTATATAATTATATACTTCTGTTTAATTTTTAGGCTGGAGGCGTGGAGATATTATCCGACGTATTGGGCAGTAAAAACCGCTCGGAAAAAGAACTCACCGACGCCGTATCAGTGTTGGCTCAGATCACCGCTCCTTGGATCGAAGACAACCACGTTGTCAACGGGCTTAGCGAATACCTGGACACTATTATATCATCGTTGACATGTAAGTCACCGACCGTCCGACCATACTATTATTAATAATGAAATTCTATAGCGGTGACGTTTGATATAACAGAGGAATTCGGACTGTCTGTTTGCAAATATATGATCCAGCGTTTGGTCTATTCAGTTCCAATAACTAATACCTACAGTGGTTGAGTTTGCTTATACTTTTTCGGCTTTCCACTTTTCACCCGAGTCTCACGGGCCCTCTAGTTGTTTATTATAATAAATAGGTACTTGACTTAACTTACTTTTCTATGATGTTGTCTAAAATGTATTAATAAAAAGTACCTATATTGATTTTATTTCAAATTAGAACTATAACGTCTCGTAATATATAAGTACGGTTAATTTACATACCGCACCAAACGCTTACGAATTTCAACCTTTTCAACGTTTCAAACAATGTTGTTCGTACTGCAACAAAACGTTTTTCGCTATAGAATTGCCTCAACCAATAATAATATGTGATTTGACCGATTTTTGTTCTTCTTATGACCATCAGACCTGGTGGAGACCACGCTGTCGTCGGAAACGCTGTTGCTGTCGTCCGCTGCGCTGGCCAACATCACGTTCATGGAACCGAACGCGATATGGACCATATTGAACATGGGCACCGCCGGGTCGCTGATAGAAGCGGTCCGGAAAAACGGCACCAAGTCGTCGGTGTTTTTGCAAGAGCAGACGGCCACGCTGTTGGCCAACATGGCAGCGGTCCCCGAGGCCAGACCGCACATGGCGGCCAACCACGCTGTCATCGCTTTGCTGTGTTTCCTGCAAGTGCGGCACTCGCCGTTGCAACGCGTTCCCGAGATATTGGCTGCGGAACGTCTACAGCACAAAACAGCCATCGCCTTGTCCAGGTATAATATTCAGAGCCATATTTTATCCTGAGGCAGAAATAATGCAGGGTTGTGGGGTTGATACACTCACAGCTTTTAATATTTTTAATACGATTCGGAAAAATCTGAAAAATTGTAATTAGGTTTCGAGCAAAACAAGAAATAACATTTGTATAGCCACAATTATATAATTATTATTAATTATCTTTTTATATTATAGTTGACAAATAAACTTATATTTGCAAATTATTTAGACATTTCAAAAGAATAGTTAATAAATAATAATAATAATAATTAAATAATTTTTACTATTATTGTACTAGTACATACTAGTACATAAACTAGCTTTGTATACTGCACCAGAATACTAATAATATGTGACTTTAATACTGCAAAAAGGGTCCGGTTTTGGTTATTGAATAATATAATTTTTTTTTTTTCCAAGTAAATTCATAATACCTAGCACAGTGAATAGCTAGTACCTTACATAAATTATAAATATACATTCAATGTTGATGAATTAAATAAATAATAATACAGATACAGGTTTAGTAAATAATATTTGCAACCCTCCGATAAGCTGAGCTTGTGGTAGAAGCCAGAAGGTTTGAAAGAGATTAGATAGTTAACAATATTCATCTAATGACTTAAACTATATTGATATATCTAATATTTATTACAGTATTTCAATAATTTTTTAATTATATGCATTCTATGCATTCTATGATCATTTTATTTTTTTTATCAAAAAACTAAAAAATTGGTAGGTATTGATACTGGGTGCCCACCACTATACAAGCAATAAATTTATAAAAGCAGCATTTTTAGTTCTAACCTTCATAATCGAGTTTTTAATAAAAGTCACGCTGTTAAAAAAATGATTTTATATTAATTAAAAAATGTTTATTTTTTCAAATTAAAATTGCATAATGATTATTATTGGAATAAACCCCCTTGGGAAATTAGGTGTGATGTAGCAACTATTACTTCTACATCATAGAGTTATTGGCACAACTATATATAGTACCCCCTAGTTTAAGTTTAGCTGTATCAGTTTGGTAGTTCCAAAATGTTAAATGATAAAAAATTTACAAAAATTGTCTTTTGATAATTTTTCTTGAAAAAATTACGTAGGTATATAGTAAATACGACTGATTTAATCTTCGAAAGTCACAAGAAAACTTCCAAGTGCATAATAATATAATCTATCTTTAAATATATAATATGCTAAATGGCTATACTTACATATAGGTACGCCGTCCCCAGGTTTTATGCAGTGGTTGAGTGGTTCGATATATAGCATTAATTGTTTCCTGCGGGGTATCGTGAGTTCGCGACGCCACTGGAATATATATTTAAGCTCTATAACTTACAATTTACACGTTATATCAACATTCTACAACGATCGTCATTCATCGGGTTAATTATAATATTATTTTATGATTGTAGACTGTGCAGCGATGTAGAAGTGTCGAAACAATTCGTGGAACTCGAAGGCGTTAACCGTTTGATAAGGTTGTGCAAAGACGAACGAGAACGAAATCACAGTGACGGTGTTCTAGTGGCGTGCTTAGTGAGTATACCTACCTATAAGCTTCATATTTAGAGATACCGTTTTTTAATCCCCTTGGTATCTAGTATCTATACGTATAACCGTTTAAGTATACCATAATATGATTTGGTGGGTATACCTACAACTTTTTTTTTCTAACTAATTTTTGCTAGGCCGATTTTCGTAACACTTTGTTTAGGACCATAGAATCGATAATAAAAACAAAACAAAAAATGTAATTAAATTCTTAACAAAATGCTACTAGATATTTTCCACTGCACTATACTCAAAAACATATCTATGAATTCTCAATTTTCCTCGCAGAGGAAAAATATCTATAGCAGCAATATTTGAATACCTATATATAGTATATTCTATACTTTAATAACATTAGAACATTTCACTTTTTCGCATTTAATAACCGATGTGTTTAGACAATACCTGACAACGTTTAAAATAACTGCATATACCCACTCGATTGGGACGTAACTCTCGACTTAAGTTTAACTTCAAAATTGTTTTTAATCGTTAAACAGGCAGTAGCGTTACCTACGTCTTACGGCCTGCCAAAACACGGTTTAAACATATTGAAAAAAAAAGTCGCTGAACTGCATAAAATATGCATTTATGCCGAAACGTCTAATAGTAATATAATATAAATTGTATACTCACTATATGTAATTGTATTAAATCGTCGTCGAAAACAATATTCCGATATAAAACAATCAAAAAATATAAACCTACAACGGCGATGTCTATATTTTTGATGACGATTGCTAACTACCATATACATTTGTGTTGAATTGCATTATTTTAACTATAATTCATATGCCTAGGTACTCGCTAGTCGCTAGTGCATAATATGTATATATATATATATTTTTATAATTGTATTTTATAATAATGTACCTATTGCGATTTGTTTTGTTTGTAGGCTTCGCTGCGGAAAATCGCCGCGAATTGTGGCAAAGAAATAATGAACCAATACGACGCCGCCGAACTGATTGAACCGAGACTGTTGGACTCATTCCTTTTGTATTCATCGAAACAAGAGAGTTACGTTTAACTCTCGTCGAATAAATCAAATTTGCTCGAATTACATTATATGCTGAGCCCTAAGCGTAAAATATGTACCTACTTAATTTATATACATGTGCTTATATGTAGGGGCGTATTTAAGGGGGGAGCACGTGGGGCCCATTCACCATATTTTATACTTTTTTTTATTACCGAGAGTAACCTTTTTTACTAATCGATTATTATGTTTGTATATCAAACACATGCGTATTTACTATTTTGGTTATTTGGTCATAAATTATGACATTATTTCCAGATGATGGAAAATACGAGTTATATAACTATATTATTATAGGTAACTATTATATTATGTTGTAATTTTAATTTTTTGTTTTATACCCCCCCCCCCCCCAGCCATAAGCCATTTCTAAATACGCCTCTGTCTGATTATAATATATGATGTATTGATAATGTATGATACTATATACAATATTAACCCTCTACAGGGGGGGCTAGGGGCTGCGGTCCCCCTAAGCTGTATTTCTAAACAATTTTATACTTTTCAAAACAAAATTACAAAAAAAATCATTGAAATCGTCTGAAAATTATGACTTCCCTCCCCCCTAACCATGTCTCTGAAGCCGCCCCTGACCCTCTATATGGTAGGTAGGTTATAATTACTGCTCTCGTGCTATCTGGGTGCGTGAATAATATATCAATTTGTTTAACGTAAAATAGAATACAATTTTCATTTGAGTATGATATTATATGACATATGGGTGCCTTATTGGTTAAGGTACCTATATTACTCTATCTAGTCCGAATCATGACAAGTGCCAACATAAATGATAATATTAATATTATTAGAACGTACTAGGTACATAAATACATAATAGCGTACATTTTGTTCAAATAGGTAGCTCTGTAACCGCAGTACAACATAATATTATGTATTTTTTTATTTTACTCGGTATACCAGCTATACCTATGTTTTATAGAAAGTGAACTTGATTTTAAGTTAGATAATTACATCGCATTTGAAAATGACAAATACGACGTAATACGTCTTTTTTTCTTTTTTTTATACCTATACATATTAAATATTTATATTATATTATAGGACATAATATTATATAGGTAGGTATAAGTAAGCGTCTTATCGTTTGTATACAAAATCCAAACGGAATATGCACCCCGCAAGTGTTATTCTCACTTTATTACCATTGTTAATGATATTACTTTTGTGTTCTATATAATAAATTTATTAAAAAATATATACAATATATACGATGTATTACATAATAAACATAGTACCTATGTATATGTTATATGAATACATAAATATTTTATATATTAATGTTACCTGTATTATTTGCTTACTTATATATATTTTTTTTATGACCCTACGGCCTTTAAAAAGGTCTTTTGAAAAATATCGGTTGATCCGTTAACAAAACCAAATCATACTTAACGTCATCTGACTGACTGAACGCGAACTATATATGCACCAACTCATTTTAGTGCGTTTGGTTCAACAGCTAAACTCAATGTAGGTATATGCGAATAGAACCGAGAGAGGTACCTAAATGAACAGGTGAGAAAAAAAGCAGTCGTGTTCCGATGAGTTGCAGTGTCCCAACTCCCAATGGACAATGATAAAATAAATTTGGGACCCAACTCGAGGTATCCACTCGTACTCCTACGCTTCATTTCTCCATTGCCCATTGGGACACTGCCACTCGTCGAGGACAACCTCGAGTTGGGTTCCAAATCTTAGAAGCAACATGAATTGGGTTGTATTTTGTCGAGTAGGTAGGTATGAGGCGGGTCTTGGTATATTTTATCCGGCGAAAGACATAACTACATAGATCAGATGAGATAAGAAAAAAAAGTTGCATTTTACGAAAGCGCCAAAATCGTATCGTACGAAAGTGCCAAAATCATAGATACATGCACGGTCTTAGAAGGTAGAAGATCTTCTAAGACCGTGGATACATGTGTGCCATGATTAATAGATATTAATTAACAGATAAGTATTACATTAAGAACTAAATACCTATTAAAAATTTTTTATAAAATCGAAAAAATCTACAGATTTATTCAAACTATATTTATTTATATGTACATACCTATATTATATTTTAACAATTTTTTATAAGATCGAAATATTCAACCGATTTATTAAAATTATAATTTTGTATTTATTGACAATTTTTTATAAGATCGACATTTTTAAATAACTACTTATATGTAATATTAATTTTGGCGCAATCTAAGTGTCATTTTTGCACCTTTGGAGCTTCACTGTCACCCATGACATGTTAGGTAGGTATAACAGGTACATAATATTAGATTGGCGCTTATGTCTTACAAATTTTAGCTCAAATGATATGTCATTTTTGTACTCTTGCCGCTTATGTCATCTAGACATTTTATCCAGTACCCAGTGGCGTAGCGTGGGTTTCAGCTTAGCGTATTCGTTGAAATAGTAAGTTAATGTAATCGTTGGGGGCTAGCCCTCCACACCCCCTATATCTACTGTTTTTAAAATTTTACTTTAAACATACAAATTTTTACTTATTCATTAATATAATATTACATTACCTAGTACATGACAAAGTTTTATATTTAATAAATAAAAAGTAAATCACTTTTTAAAAATTAATGCACGTTTTAACTTATAATAGACTGTCAACGATAGCGTAAGCAATACTGATCCCGTATACACGAGTGACGAATATACGACCATAATCGTTCTATGTTTTGTTATTAATATTATCGATAAGAACTGTAAATAACTGCAGTCGCTGGAAGTCTGTACCCGTACCTATGCAATCGCCTACTTGCATACTGCTTACATAATAAACAAAGTACTGAGCCACTGAAGTACTAGCATTGATTAAAATATAATATACTAGTACCTATATTTAACCAATGGTACTAGCGAGTAGCAACTATAAAAAAAAAAATAGATATAAGGACTATAGGGCGTCGCGGCTGTGGTGTTACAGATTAATCAATCCTAATGAATAATGATTAATGAACATGGAAAAAAATCCACAAAATATTATATTACGAAGCACTAAATTAGTACAATGAAATTTAAAACACTTTTATAAAAATATAGAATTATTAATGTATAAAAAAATATTTTTTCATTTTATGAAGTGTATGCTGTGCATAAACAGCATACGCACTGCCAATACCTCTATAAGAGTTGGATCCAGCCTGGGGAGATTGGATAGAACGTCTATCAAAAATTTTGTTTTTTGTTACCTTTACTCTGATAGTCTGATGAAATAAATAATAATTATTAAAATAGCTATTTTATCTTAATATATTTCTTTTTCCTTTTATCGTTAATATTTTCATCATAATATAGTAACTGGGAAGAAATTCAAAAGACACATCTTTCGGCTTTCACAAAACTTAACAGGGTCTGTTCTCCTCTAGTAAAACAAAGAACCTTTTCTCTTAAAAATGTTTTTTTGATCAGCTACGAAGTGTTGATGAAAATTTCTCTCTGAATTCCAAGTAAAATTTCTAGTAAAACAAAAATGTTATAGTGAGCTGCACCGAAATTCGCATTTAAAAAAAGCAAGTCTCAATATGTTATCAGGCGACAACTGTCCAGTTACGTCGTTATTAAAACTTTAAGATAAAATACTACCACAGTACCACGGATCCAATTCGAAAAAATAGACGTAAATGAGTCGTGGCCCGTAAAAAAGTCGACTTTTAAAAATAGTTTCTTTTAGGAACATTTTTAAGTAATATACTAATACTTGAATTTTATTTTTTTTTTACTTTTAATCTAGGTATATGATGCAAATACCAATTTTTTTGAATCAAAAACAATGCGATCGTATTTCAAGTGCTACTAAGTCATTAATAATCGATACATTGTTTCAGTCTTTAATTTTAAATATGTTCTGTTAGAATCAGATATTTAAATTTATAATTTTTTTCTAAATTACATTCAAATTAATATTTATAAAACGCTCTTTTGTCAGGTATGTCGTTGTGTGCTCACATGATGTTATGTTCAGAAAACTGTACTATACCCAAAACATATCTATGATTCTTCAATTTTCCTTGCAGAGGTGTAATAATATTCAGTAGCAGCTACTCATAATATATACGAAAGTAAATTTTTATTGTTGGTTCGCATACCTAATGAAGAGTAAATTTGTGGGATATTAAAAAAAAGTTGAGAAACACTGCTATAATAGTTATTGTAGTGTAGGTATGTAGATTGTAGAGATTCAATATTATAACTACAATTTGTATTTTTGAGATGTTTATGTTACCTGCTGTAACAAAAAATTACTATACGAACCCTGAAATTATTATTGTAACTATGTAAGCTATTAAAATTTAAAAAATTTTTAGTACAAAATAACTGTGTATCTGTGCCAATGTATCAATGCATTATCAATAATTTTCAAAATTGGTTCAAGCATTACTTTTGTGGCATTTTGTAATAAATTTGAATACATTTTGATTAGACTAACTTTTTTATATTCTGAAGTTTATACAACAGAAACAATGAACATTTTATAATGAAATGTTCTTTAGGTTAAAAAGAAATATTATCTGATTGGTGAAGTTTCTATAGTTTATAATAAAATATTTCGATAAATTAAAAATAATTAAAATATTTTAAGCTTGTTTTGTTTTTCTATTTCCATGTCAATTTATAGGGTGTCCCAGCAGAAATGAACAAGCGCACATTAATTCAGCAAAAAATCATCGAAATTTCAAGAAAAAAATAATTATTATAACCATTAACATCTTTCATTTAATGATGTAATTCTCAGTAATTAATAAGTTATGCAATTATTAGCTGTAGGTAACCTCACCTATCCAAAAATATCCAGATCACAGAGCAGCAAAAAAGTGTACAAGATACAATTTACTGTAATACACCAGTTGAATTGCACAATAATCTAACTTTTAATCACTAATAAGTTTTATCTTACATTCAATTTTATTAGTGGTTTATTTACCACTCGACAACATATTATTATGGGTTTCAAAACGTAAAAAAAAATCAAAGTATAGAACATTGTTTTAAAATAATTTTTATTTCAGTTGAAAGTTATAAAAAATGAACAAGTTAGTCAAATAGACCGAAACCCATATCATCATCTTCTTCTTCTTCACTTTCGACCTTTTCTTCTTTCTTTGCTTCCTTAGCTGGAGCTGCACTTTCTACAGGAGCTGCAACGGCAACAGCAAACTTGGATGGATCCTGCAATTAAATTAAATATTTGTTTTATATTTTCATTTATAATAAACCTATTTCATTTTATTACCTTAAGGTATTCCTTGAAAGTTGTAGCTTCTTTGAATTCAATTTCAGTTTCAGCAGCAACAGCAACCAAGTTCTTGAAACCATTGATCAACATGTGAGGAGCAGACACAATAGTAGGATAGCTGATTGCAAGACAAGCAGCTGTTACTTGAGAGACTCCCTATTAAAAATTTAACATAATTATAAATACATGTTTTTATATTAATTGATTATAGGTTGATACTCAGTACCTTATAAAATAAAACAAACAAAAGGTATAGTGATATAAAATAGAAATGTTCACATATTATATCTTGTAGAAGCAGACACCAAAGTGATTATTTTTTATTTAACATACTCGCTACCGATTTACCATTTATTATCCTTACTCAAAAGAATAGAATTTAAGTTTTCTTTATAACTTACTATTATTTCATACAAATTAACTCAGATTTATAGTATCAACATAAAATCTTCTGTCGGGAAAAGAAGACAAAATAAAAGTAAATCATCATAATTAATTTTAGTACAAATAATTTTTGTAATTAAAAATTAAAAACCAATAACTAAACTTGAACTATATTATTAAGGCCAGACACACAGGAATGATGCGTGAAAGGGGTGGACAGGTTATTGCAGATTTTTATTTCTCTTATTGGTGTAAGCTACTCTAAATCTAATAGATAAAACCAACTGTAAAATAGACATAAATTAATAGGAATTTAATTAAACCACATTCAGACATTTGAACTACTTATGTTATTATACTAAAGTTTAAATTTAAAGATTAATCTAATTAAAATGAATTATTTAAAACCAAGATAAAAAAATTAACATTATCTACCAATAATAAATATTTTAGATTTATTATTAAAAATGTTTCTGTAATATATAAATTAACTCAGATTTTTAGTATCAACAGAAAATCTTCTGTCGGGAAAAGAAGACAAAATAACAGTAAATCATCATAATTAATTAGCATTTAAATAATTCTTTTTTTAATTAAAAATTAAAACTAAATAGGTACCTTAACTTAAACTATATTATTAATGCCAGACACAGAAAAAAGCAGTGTGAGGGGAGTATTTCACTTTTATTTCACTTTATTGACGTATGCCACTCTAAATCGAATAGATAAAATAAACTGTAAAATATAGACATAAATTAATGGGAATTTAATTAAGCCACATTCAGACATTTGAACAACTTATATTATACTAAAATTTAAGTTAAGTATAATGAATTATTTAAAAACTTTAACATTACCTAATTATCATAAGTATTTTAGACTTGTAATTAAAAGTGTTGCTATGCTTAACAGATTAACTCAGATAATAATTATCAACATAATATCTTCTGACGGGAAAAGAAGACAAAAATAGTTTTATAAGGAATCATCATCATTAACATTATTTTTTGGCACAAATAAATTTTAAGAAAACTTTGACAATTAATAAGTATGTACTTAAATTCAGTTTAAAGTGTTAGTAAATAATAAAATAAGGAACTTAAAAATGTAAACTTACTATTAAGAAGGTCTTCAATAAATCTTCTGGCTTGATATCTAAGATTTCAGGTTCAAAGATAGTTCCAGAATCATATACCATCTGTACGGCCAAACCATAATTAAATGGAGAAATATTCAACATGTTCAATAAGGTTGCCTCAGAAGCTCCTACTTTGTCACCTTCTTTTAAAATATGGACATCATTCTAAACATTTAAAAACTGTGATAAGTATAATAAATTAAATTTATATTATGCATGTTATTTTTCTTACGATGATTTCAATTGTTCCCTTAGAAATTTTAGTTGGAATAGACAGCGCCTGGAAGAAAGAAGTTTTTTCTGGTCCAAGTCCAGTGTTCTGGGCAGGAATAACAACGGGGCAAGGTGCAATAGCACCAGGACGAGCTGGGGCACGAACTTTATTTTCCAAAAGCTTATCTCTGATCTCAACCAAATCACTACGAGTGAAAACAAATCCTACATTTCCTCTGATGTGAGGCATGATCCTAAAATAAGTATATAAATAGTTAATAAAACATTTTTAATAAATTAAAAATATAATTAATTTCATGGTTATGGTATAGTAAATCAGACTGCCTAAAGGCATTTGACATCAATAAAGACCAATCCACACCAATGGGTTCAGCCATTTCTGGCTTTGATGTGTTAACGATTGATCTTTTAAGTCAAAATTATTTCATCACAATTACTATAACCATAATAAAAATGAACAATCAAATTAATTAAATATAATAAGAAAACACAAAAATAACAGTTTTTAAAATATGCTAGTTTCAGACTGCCCAAGGGCATTTAACATCAATAAAGACCAATCCACACCAATGGGTTCAGCCATTTCTGGCTTTGATGTGTTAGCGATTGATCTTTTAAGTCAAAATTATATCATCACAATATTACTATAACCATGATAAAAATGAACAATTAATTAAATTAAATAAGAAAACATAAAATTAAATTTTTAAAATATGCTGGTTTCAGACTGCAATTTAAGCATTAAATTTCAATAAGCTTTGTCCGCATCAATGGGTTCAGCCATTTCTGGCTTTGATGCGTTAAGACTCTACTTATTCAGTTATAACTTATCATCATAAACAATATTAGTTTGTAATTATTTTAAATTTATAATATTACTTTTCAAGAGATTGATTTCTTTCGATATGGCCTTTTATTGCCTTCCTCATCATTGTATTCTTGCCCATCAGCACGACAGCATTTCCACGAAGACTGATGCGGATTTGCTGCATCTGTTTTGAACCCACATTGTCGGCTCCCACGATGAAACATTTTGGGAACTCGTCAAGTAAATTCTACAATAAAAATGTATTAAAAAAAAAAGTTGTTGATAAGTTGTTATTTAATACAATGTAAAACATACCACCAACTTCACAAAATAGTTAGCTTTCCAAGTTGCTTTGTCCTCTCTACCCATCTTGTGGTGTAGAGATGTTAATACGTTTAAGAACTAAAAACCAAAACAATAAAATTAAAACCGGCAAAAAAAAACTTCAAATTATCTCCAAGGTATGGGACAAGTATAAAATATTTTAGGTTATGTTATGGTTACGACACGATTTAGGAGACGTTTCTGTATGCTTTCCATTTCAACTACATAATATAAAAACCTAACAGTAATCTTAAGAAAACCGTAAGGGAGTGATCATAATAATTGGTAATGACTTCAATCGAAATCGATTTGGAACGAATACGAAATTGTTTGTACATAAACCATGTGTATGGAATGTCTGTTGAAATTCTTGAAATGTAAAGCAACCAGAACGTTTGAACTTTAAGCCACCGATTGTTCCGCGAGCAAAGAGAGTTGATCGAATTAAATCGAAACAAATGTTTACGGTGGTGTAGAATAATATTAAAAATCCATCGAATACTTACCAAAGCGCCACGCGTAAATTAAAAAATTGGACTACGGAGATATGTTCCGTATGTCACGACACGTTCTGAAAATGAGACCGTAATCGGGGGCCGAGCCTCTAGAATATGCCTCACTGCCTCGTGTAGAAAGATAGTATATAGGTGGGAGGAGGGTCGGACAACAAAACATACAACTCATGGAGTAAAAACATATTTTACGGCATGGAATGTACGGTCAAATATCATTAGATCAAGGCGCGTGTTTTTAAATCTTCGACAGAAACCAACAGATCCAAAGAAAAAAATAAAAATTATTACTGAACATTCGACTCGACTAGAATACTAAAACGTTTCGTCACCAACATTGCGACACTTCTTTATTTGTTATGAATATATTTTTTACAAAAAAATAAAAAAAAAACTGATTTTACAATAATACTTAAAGCATTGCTTGTGCTGGTGACAGGGCCGGCGTTAGCTAATATTTGTGAGGGGTCGTGGTTAACGAAAGTGACGACTGAAATTCATGCATAATTATAAAACACTAAAAAAAAATTTTTGCGACACTCAAAATGTCAAGTTTTTGTTTCGACAATTCCATACTATGTTGGAGCAAAAACTTATTATAAAATCTTGATAAATGCATGTTTTTATACATATTTTTCAATATTCACTATTAATCATGATATTGTTCCAGAGTAAAAATTCGTCAAACCGTTTATAAATAAAACAATAAAACTAATAATGTTTTTGTATCATATGATAAAGAATAAACAAAATCCTAGAGACATTTTTCAATTATTTAAATCACTATTTACCAACAATATTGCCTTTTTACTTAGAGTTTTTGATCGAAGCTGATTTTTTAGTATCTCTATCTATTTTGATTTTAAATGAGCATCATAAAACAATAACTATTTTTTATAACAAATAAGTATTATAATATATTACATTTTACAAAATATCATTTAACATTGTCAGAATGTGCATTCCAAAAAAATACAAAAATTATAAAAAATGTATATATATAATAATTATATATTAGGTACACCGAAATTCTTCTTTCTTTTAACGATGCCATATTTGTATCATATTTGTCATTTCAATATTATCTAAAATGTCTTTCTCAGAATCAATTATAATCAAATCATTTAATCGGAAACTGGTCATAGTAGTTCTTAAATGGTTTTTGATTAATTTTAGCTTGCTGAAACATCGTTCATTTGAAGCTGTGGTAACTGGTGATGTTAATGCCAAACGACAAAGTTCATTAGCAATAGGAATTAAAGTCCTTAATTTGTTGGCTACATCCATGACATTAGCCAATGATTTAACATTTTCAGTTTGTAAATATATTTATCTCACATAATGCGCTATTGAAATCTGTTACATTAGACATGTCACAGTTTTTTGGAAATAAGGAAAATGCTTTTTCTACATCTTTTACAGTTATATTTGAACTTATAGGCACCGATAATACTTTAAAAAGTGGTTGAATACAAACCAGACAAGATTTCAAATTTTCTGATGACAAACCGATTAATGTGTCCAGAACTTGAAGAAATTCTTTTCTGTAAAAGTCTTCATAAGTTAAGTTTACATGTGGTTGTTGATTTGAATCAATTTTTTTTGGTTTTAATCTTTTTCTATGATGTTGATTAAAATCCCCATCAAAATCAATATCTAGTTTTAGACAAAATGATTTAGCACTGGCTATAAGTTCATTAATCAGTGTACTATTGTTTCTAGTTTCTGTAAGTGATTTAATTGAACTATCAATTAATATCAGTGCGTCTACTATATTAAGATCTTTGGTTTCCAATGTTTTAGTCAATATTTTAATTTGGTACATTACCTATATGGTTCATAAAGTACATACAAATGATAAAATCAATTGATAAACATAAAACATTTCTTCTCAAGTCCTTATGCTTGAATTCTAGTTTTTTTTATCAATAGTTGGTTTTGTAGATATTTCATGTAAAACTGAAACAATTTCTTCAAAAGACAGCCAAACCGCCCGTAGAGATTCTGTCCTGGCAGTCCATCTGGTCTTAGACAAATTTCGAAGCTTCAAAGATCCTTCAATTTTTGATAGAGCTTTATCTAAAGTTATACTTCGTTTAGTACTTGAAGAGAAAAATACATATAAACTTTCTAAGGTGAAAAATAGGTCACCAACTATAACGGTGAGTGGTAAATGCGTCCTGCCAACTGCCAAACGGTGACCGTTTGCTATCCGGGTTTCAGGAAATACGTTTATTTAGCCCGTATACGGTATACATGACGTATAAAATACGTATTACATGACGTTTTTAATACAATAAATGTGAAATGTCGATATTAATTTTAGCTGCGGAGACACGGGCAAAAAATCATCACATTGGCCCATTAAACTTAAAATAGAACATATTTTTCCCACTATATGGTTTATTTTCATTTTTTTTTTAGATTCTGAGTGAAACGATGAATGTATTGATTTTACAATGATGTGTGTTTTTTTATTTTTTTATTTTTTATTTTTTTATTTTTTTATTTTTTTGTATCTGTGTACACGATAAGTAGTCGAAATAATGCTTCGATTTTCGACTTCAGTATCTTGTTCGATTGGAAAGTGAATATCGTTGGTGCATTGGGGAGGTCAAAATTTAAATTTCCCAGTAGTTTTCACAAGCGCCGGGAAAAACAACATAAAAATTAAGGAAAAACGGGAATTTTTACGCAAAATTGATTTTCCAAAAAATCGATTTTGGTTATTGGTGTAACTCTAAAACAAATGAACGTATATACATGAAATTTTCACTGGTTGTTTATATTTGCATTTTCTATACACGATAACATTTTCAAAATATTTTGATTTATTTTGAACTGTTTAGGGACATTTTCATTTTCCATTTTTTTTAGTTTTTTTTCTAAAAATTTCAATAAAATTTTATTTGTTGGTTGCGAAAGCTTGAAAATTTAATAGAAGGCTCCTAATATGTTGTTTCAAAGGCAGATGAAAAATATTAAAAATCCTTAGTCACAATTTTTTTTTATAAGCATTTAAAGTTCAAAAATTGACAAAATATGGAAAAATCACGAAAATTAGCAAATTATTTTGAGTTAAGAATTCGTAAAAATTTTTCTTTTTAAATCTAAGATTTGAAAATCTAATACAAGATTACTCATAAGATTGTCTACCTTTATCAATAAAAAAATTTCTACCGGAAAGTCAAATTAAATTTTTATGAGCGTTTGAAATTCAAATTTTTACAACATTGGATATTCACTCGATTTCTCATGTGGCAATTTCCTTTTTTGTTGTAATTAAAAAACGAATTACTGTAGATACATGAAAATTTCACTGAACGTTTATATTAGCATTTCCTATACACCCTACAATTTTGAAAATATTTTGACACTTTTTGAGCCGTTTACGGACATTTTCAGTTTTCAATTTTTTTAGTTTTTTTTTTCTATAAATATCAATTAAGTTTTATCTGTTGGGCCAAAAGTGTAAAAATTTAATACAAGGCTCCTGATATATTGTTACAATATCAGTTGAAAAATATTAAAAATACATAGGCACAATTTTTTTTTATAAGCATTTTAACATCGAATTTTGATAGAATTTTTCAAAATCTCGAAAATTATTAATCATCGTAATTAATAAATTATAAAATGTTCAGTTTTTATAGCTAAGGATTGAAAATTTAAAACAAGATTCCACGTAAGTAGTTAATTCTCTTACCGAAAAATCTAAAAAATATACAATCACAGTTTACTTTTATAGTCATTTTATGTTCAAATTTGGACGAAATTACATATTAAAAAACCTAGTTATTTTGTTGTGATTATATAATATTATTCGTGGGTACCTACTTGAAACTTCTAAAGTGTACTATTATATATATATGATAGTATCAGGGTTTGTTGTTGATGTTGATGTATAACGTGTTATAAGTACCTAATGGATATTGTGATAATGTGATATGATTAATTTGGAATTTATTATAGGTCAATTTTTTTTTAATACCATAGATATGTATATAATTTGTATTAAACCTAGACTGACATACCGTCTTCGCTCAGAATCGTTTTTCTTATACAATGATATTGTATCATTGAATTCAAATTTAATTGCATCCATTATACAGTGACCCACTTGTAACCTACTGTACAGCAGAGCGACATCCACTTACCCACCTTTTTTTTTTTGTATTTTTATATTTTATACATATTTTTGTTGTATTTGACAATGTGTTAATGTGCCGACTGAAATATTAGGTTAAATGAGTGAGGGGTCGTGACGACCCCTTAAACCCCCCCTCGCTCCGGCCCTGGCTGGTGATAGGGTGTTACATTAGTACACTTATTTAGTACTTTACACACTACACATTACATAATATCATTGCAGATCGAATGTTTAACAAAATAAAAATAAAATAAAAATGATTTAAAGTTCAGTAATAATAATATACCTACCTACTATACCTAGTAGGTAATTCTATATGGTTACAATAACTTAGGTACAATATAAAAAATTATAAATTCAATATTGTATTAACTATTGATTTT